AGCAGAATCCGCCTTGTTTTCCCAATGTGCAAATGTGGTAGTCCCCTTTTGGAGTCTGCCCGCTTACTTAGAAGGGCAGACAGAATCGTCAACTTGGGGTCCGCAGGAATGACTCCCAGGAGGTGGAATCTTAATCCCGGCGCTGGACCCTCATGTCAGGCTGATCTTTGACCACACTGCTTAAACAGACCAGAAAGCAGTGGAGAAGCATCCCGGGAGGTTATAGGAGCGGGAACAGACGTGCAAAGTCCCTGAGGTTGTCCAGTGCAGACACCCACACTCCATGCTTGGACTTTTGATCATGAGAGTTGGGGTGGCAACATGGTTAAACCTTGCAGGAGGGTGCGTGAGGTGTCCTTGTGACCTCGGGGGATGCGTGGCTCTGGCCCTGGTTTGTGCTGGTGACTGACGCTGCCCGTGTGCATTCTGGAGGGTTACCGCTGCATCAGATCTGGGGCTGGGAAAGGGCAGCTCCCTACCTACAACAGCACCTGCACCTCCATCGCCCTGTCCTGGTTTGGGGCAGGGAAACAGCGACAAAGGTGGGGCTGGTTGATGCCGCCAGGGAACAGCCTCACGTGCAGCAGAGTCAGGCCTTGGCTGTCCTCCCCCTGGGGCCTCCGGGGTCCTTCGAGTCAACACTTGGGCTAGAAGACTTACTGGCCATGCTTTTGCCAGGCTGTGTTCTCTGCTCCTCTTATAATGTCACCTAGCTGTCAGGACATAGCAAATAGCCCAGGCCTTCCTCTCAGTGTGCCTGGGATTACCACTCCCACAGCCTACACCTAGAATGCTCTCTACCTCCATCCATGCCTGCATCTGGGCTCGTAGACATCCTGAATGCTGGGTGTTGAACACCTGGGAAGTGCACTAGTTTGGCTTCTGTTGACTGGGGTCTTCTCACTGCTAGCCTGCTGTGTTCACACATGGATGTCATGACACCAGGTCCCCAATATCACAGACTGGTCGTCTGATCGGGATAGGCTAGGCTTCCTCAAAGCAAGGTGCTGTCCCTACCCCAAGGTGCAGGAGCTCGGCTTATGATGAGCCTTAGTCCTGGGCATTTTCTAGGAGCAGGACTGGGAGCTCTGAGGCAGGGATTCTGCGACTATTTCTTTCCCATTCTGGAAAGCTGAGACCAGTAACTGGGAGATAGAAACACGCTGATAATAGTGCAACTGGGATATTTGTCTTTGTTTTTTGAGACAGTTTCTCTGTGTAGTCCGGACTGTCCTGGAGCTCAGTTTGTAGTCCAGGCTCCTGGAGCTCAGAGACTGACTGCCTCCCAAGTGTTGGGATTAAAGGCATGCGCCATCATCACTCAGTGCACTTGTTTACTTTTGAGACAGGGTTTCTCAACATTGGGTATATTGACTTTTAACTCACTCTGTAGCCTGGATTGGTTTAGAATGTGTGATCCTGTTGCCCCAGCCTCTTTAAGTTCCTGAGATGCCAAGTGCATACCATCATGCCCCATTTCTATTAGTGTTCCTGGATCCAGCCATACCTGACTTCCCCTGGATGGGAACCTGTGGATTCTTTGCTTTATTGAGCCATTTGAGTTGGGCCTTTTGTCACCTGCCAAGTTTAGGTTCACGGTAACCTTGGATATGACCCTTCAAAACCAGGTTTTTGTTTATCTGTAAGAAGCAAGGGATGAAAGCCTGGCGGTGGTGGTGAACACTTAGGAGGCAGAGGCAGACAGATCTCTGTCAGTTTGAGGTCAGCCTGGTCTATGGAGCAAATTCCAGGACAGTCATGGATACACAGAGAAATCCTGTCTCAAACAAAACAAAACAAATACAAGAAACAAAAAAAGGAGTGAGTCATGGGGCCACGGAGATGGCTCAACATGAGAACCTGAGTTTGGATGCCCGCATCAGAGAAGACACAGGTGAGGTGGTGCAGGTCGGTAACCCCAGCATTGGGGATGGAAAGGCAGTAGGATTCCTGGGACTCACTGACCAGCCAGCCTAGTGTAATTGAGAATACCTATGTCAGAAAATAGGGGGAGGAGCCATTGAGCTAAACCACCATGCACACATGACAAAGCACACTAGTCATAGTGTTGAGTCGGTCCCATACTGTCTAACTCAGCTTGATCCGGTCTGGTGTCAGCTTCTTCATGTTTGGAGACATTGTTTCTCTGTCTCAAGTAGCCCAGGCTGGCCTTGAACTTGCTGTGTAGCTGAGGATGACCTGATCCTCCTTCCTCCACATGCAGATGCTGGGATGACAATTGTACTCCACTACTTGTTCACACTTTGGTGGTGGTGAGGGGATGCTGGGCCCTGTGCATGCCAGGTGAGTGCTCTGCCTCCTGAGCCACAGCCTGACCTCCATGAACATGGCTTCCCCAGGGACACACAACAGTGTCCACATTATCAAAAGCCCCCTCTCCCACCTCGGTTGATTTCTGTCATGCAGAAAAGAACATAAAACCAACTCAGTCATTCATTTCACTGTGCAAAAAGCCATATTTGAGGGAATAATCCCAGAGGACAGGCTGCTGCTCCCCTGTGGGTCCTGTGTAGCTGAGCAAAGGGAGAGAAAGGAACCAGGGTTAGGTACGAGGCTGGACTGGGGAGCAGTGGGCTGCACTGGGGAGGGGTGGAATGGGGCTCAGTTGTGAGAGTGCCTGTCACTAGTAGAGCTGACCCAGCATGGATGGAGCCCCAGATTCCATCCCCAGCACCACATAAATCAAGCGCGGTGGCTCACACCTGTCCTCTCATCACTTGGGAGGTGGAGGCAAGATGATGGGGGACGGTGGTTCAAGGTTATCCTCAACTACATAATAAATTAGCTAACCAGTCTGTGTGGGCATTTTTCATTGGACTGCCAGCTCTCTCTCTCTCTCTCTCACACACACATACACACACACACACACACACACACACACACACACACACACACACACAGAAAGTTTGGCCTATAGCTTAGGCTTGTCCCACTAGCTTGTATTGTTAGACCTCCGGAAAACTCAGGCCTCGGGGTCTTAGCCTAGGACCGAGGTCACCCCAATCACCAGGTGGATTTGAAAACTTGCTGCAAACTGCATGAGGCTTTATTGTTGTTTAATGAGCTAACCCCATGTTAGCTCGGGTCTTTCAACCACCCGCCATGGCCGATGGCTAGCAAGGACAGCTAGAACCGGCTGCCGAGAGATCTTGTAGGGCAGCGTAAGGGGAGTGTCTAGGGGTACGCACAGGCTCAGGATTGGTGTGCCTCCAGGCTTGGAGGGCTTTCCCTGTGGTGATTGGCCAATTGGTTATAGCCCATAGGCCCTCCCAGGGTGTTTGCTATGCTCTGCTCGTCATTGCCTTGCACTTGTCCATAAAGCCCCCCCAGAGCCATAAAGCATACCCCCCCCAGCTAACTTCTGATTGGGTCCTTGCCACGAGTCAGGCATCTGACCTCTTAGTGACCAAGGCAAGGTCAGGGCGAGCACGTGTTACTGTCATGGCTGCCGAAAGGGGCAGCTGGTCCCTTCATTATAACTTAAATTAATCAATTTCCCCCCTTTTTTTCCCCTGCCCCCTAATCCATATTTAGGGGGCAGAATCAATCCATGTTCTTTTACATGGCTCAGTCACCTTTACTCTGTTCACCCCCGTCCTGCTGCTTCTCCATCTGCTGGTGTCTCTGCCCTTCTTCCCAGCATCCTCTGTGCCTAGAAATCCTGCCTAGCTATTGACTGTTCAGCGTTTTGTTTATTTGTTTTTGAGACAGGGTTTCTTTGTGTACCTTTGGAGGCTATCCTGGAACTGGCTCTGTAGACCAGTGTCTCACTGTTATAAGATGTTATTATAGCATTTTAAATGCCATAGAGACAGGCAGATCTCTGTGAATTCAAGGCCACCCTGGTCTACAGAGCCAGTGCCAGGATAGGCTCCAAAGCTAAACAGAGAAACCCTGTCTCGAAAAACAAACAAAAAAAAAAAAACAAAAAAACAAAAAAAAACAAACAAACAAACAAAAAAGTTTAAGGTACAATACCTTAAACAAGAAATAGAAACAATACAAAAATAAACTTAGGCCAGGCATTGGTGGCCCATGCCTTTAACCCCAGAGGCATTGGCAGGCGGATTTCTGTGAGTTCTAGACCAGCCTGGTCTACAAGAGCTAGTTCCAGGACAGCCTCCAAAGCCACAGAGAAACCCTGTCTCGAACCTCCTCCCACCCCCAAAAAGTAGCCTTAAATTTGTATTAATATACAAAAGTCCATATCAATGTAAAATATTTGAGACTACTGGTTGTTCAAACGTAGACTCACTGGGTGATGATGATGAATACCTTTAATCCCAGCGCTTGGGAA